AAAAAAAAAAAAAAGGTCAAACTAACATATTTAAAGCACAAAATTTGCAGGACATATGGTAAAATGAAAAAAAAGAGCACAAGGGTGTATAGTATGCTACCCTTTGTAAGAAAGGGAGGAAAATATTTTTTATTTTGAAAACATTTTAGATTGTCTAAGTATTTTTTTAAAAATAAGAGAAGGACCAGACAGTGGAACCAGGTGGCTACACGCAGCCTGCTGACCCCGCCGCCTCAGACCCAGGCAGGGGGGGAGCTCCAGATCCCATCCCCGTGCCCTGAACAAGCACCATGCAGGTGAGCCCACTGGCAGCAGCTGGCAGCAACACCAGCCAGTGGAACCATGTGCCTCCATGCATCCCCTCATCCTGCCTCAGACCCAGGGGGGAGCACCAGCCTACAGTTCTGACCCACCAAGTTTGGCCCAGCAGAACTCCATGCACTCGGGGCTCATTCTATAACCACAGAGTCTTGAACAGGAACCAAGTTGGTTTAACATAACCACCATCACAGCTACTGTCAAGCAAAGACAAGTCGCCCCCCCACAGTAGCAACCAAGGCCACTCCACAGCCAACCTCAGTATAACAGAAGAAGCAAACCCCCTACCAAATGACCAAGCATCAGCGAAAAAACACTAGAAGCACGAACAATCAAGAAGAAACACCACCACTGAAAGGATACAGTAATGCCCCAAAGTCAGACTCCACGGAACAGGGAATCCTTGAATTTTGAGCAATAATCTTAAGAAAACTTGAAAAAATAAAGGAAGACTCAATTAGAGAACACAGTGAAACAAGAAAAAACATCCAGAATATGAAGGAGGAATTCTACAAAGAGATTAATACCATAAAAAAGAGTGTAGCAGAACTTCTAGAAATGAAGGACTCACTCAATGAAATAAACATGACTGAGAGCTTGAGCAGCAGGGTAGAACAAGTAGAAGAAAGAATTTCAGAGCTTGAAGACAGTCTTTTTGAAATAAGTCAGGCAGACAAAAAAAGGAATAAAGAATTAAAAATAATGAGGAAAACCTATGAGAGATAGCAGACAACCTCAAGTGCTCTAACATCTAAATTGTGGATATTCCTGAAGGACAGAAGAAAGGAAAGGTATCAAAAATCTACTCAAAGAAATAGTAACAGAAAACTTCCCAGGTGTAGGACGAGATACAGACCTTCAGATCCAGGAAGCTCAAAGGTCCCCAAACAGATTCAACCCCAAAAGATCCTCCCCAAGACATATTATAGTTAAATTTGCAGAGCTCAAAGAAAAGGAGAGAATTCTACAAGAAGCAAGAGAAAAGCGTCAGGTCACTTATAGGGGAACCTCCATCAAACTAACAGCAGACTTCTCAACTGAAACCCTACAGGCCAGGAGAAAGTGGAATGATATATTCAATATACTAAAAGAAAAAATCAGCCAGCCAAGAATTCTTTACCCAGCAAGGCTCTCCTTCAGAAATGAGGGAGAAATAGTGTATTTCCCAGATAAACAAAAGTTGTGGGAGTTCACCTCCACATGACCAGCTCTTCAAGAAATTCTCAATGGGTCATTCATCTGAAATCTGAATAACGGTGACTATCATCACGAATACACAAGAGCAAAATCCACAGTTAAAACAAAAATACCAACAAGAAAGAGAAAGAAGCTAAATCGTTCCACCTTAAATTCCCAACTCACATTGAAGAAGAGAAATAAAAGGGGAAACAATGATCAAAAGATATTTAAATCACCTAAACAAGTAGCATTTAAATGACAGGAATTAAACAACACTTCTCAATAACTACTCTGAATGTGAATGGACTAAACTCCCCATTCAAAAGACACAGACTAACTGACTGGATTAAAAAGCTAGACCAAAGCACATGCTGTCCTCAAGAGACCAACCTCACCTGTAAAGACACATAGACTAAAAGTGAAGGGATGGAAAAAGATATACCATGCCATGGAAACCATAAACGAGCAGGAGTAGCTATTTTATGTCAGAGAAAATAGACTTGAAACCAAAAAACATTAAAAAAGACAAAGAAGGCCATTATATAATGATAAAGAGAACTATCTAGCTAGAAGTTAGATAGCAACCATAAACATGTATGCGCCCAATACTGGAACACCCAGATATATTAAGCAAACACTCTTAGACCTAAAGAAGGAGATAGGACCTAATATATTGATAGTGGGTGATCTGAACACCCCTCTCTCAGTATGGGACAGGACTTCCAGGCAACAAGTCAACAAAGAGACACAGGATCTAATCTACATGCTAGACCAACTGGACTTGGCAGATATATATAGAACATTTCACCCAACAGCTAAAGAATACACTTTCTTCTCATCAGCTCATGGTACATTCTACAGGATAGACCACATATTAGGTCACAAATCTAGTCTCAGCAAATTTTAAAAAACTGAAATCATCCCAACAATCTTTTCTGACCACAGTAGACTAAAACTGGAGATAAACAATAAGTAAATCACTGGAAGCTATACAAATACATGGAAAATAAATAATAGGCCTCTGAATGACCTATGGGTCCAAGAAGAAATTAAACAGGAAATCAAAAAATTTCTAGAAACTAATGAAAATAAAGATACATTGTACCAAAAATTGTGGGATACTGCAAAAGCAGTACTAAGAGGCAAATTTATTGCAGTAAATGCTTATATCAAAAAAATGGAAAGACTCCAAGTAAACGACCCAACTCTACACCTCAAAAAACTTGAGAAACAACAACAATCCAAACCTAAAGGCAGTAGACAGAAAGAAATAATTAAGATCAGAACAGAACTGAATGAAATAGAGACCCAAAAAACAACAGAAAAGATCAAAACAACTAAAAGTTGTTTTGAGAAGATAAACAAAACAGACACACCATTAGCTAAATTAACAAAAAAAAAAAAGGAGAGAGAAGACCCAAATAACAAAAATCAGAAATGAAAAGGGAGACATTACAACTGACACCACAGAAATACAAAGAATCATTAGAGATTATTATAAACAACTGTATGAGAACAAATTTGAAAATCTGGAAGACATGGATAAGTTTTTAGACACATATAAATTAACAAGAGTGAACCAAGAAGAGATAGAAAACCTGAACAGACCAATAACAAGCAAGGAGATTGAAGTGGTAATTAGCAATCTTCCAACAAAAAAAAGCCTGGGTCCGGATGGCTTTACAGCTAAATTCTATCAAACTTTTAAAGAGGAGTTAATACCAATTCTCATGAAACTGTTCCAAATGACTGAAACAGATGCTACTCTCCCAAACTCATTCTATGAGACCAACATAACTCTGATACCAAAACCAGATAAAGAAACAACAAAAATAGAAAATTACAGGCCAATATCCTTGATAAACCTAGATGCTAAAATCCTCAACAAAATATTAGCAATTAGAATACAGCAACATATTAAAAAAAATTATACACTATGATCAAGTGGGATTCATCCCAGGGATGCAAGGATGGTTCAACAGATGTAAGTCAATAAATGTGATACATCACATCAACAAGCTCAAGGACAAAGACCATATGATCATCTCAATAGATGCTGAAAAAGCATTTGACAAAATTAAACATTCCTTCATTATAAAGACTCTCAACAAATTAGATATAGAAGTAAAATATCTTAACACAATAAAAGCCATTTATGACAAACCCACCACCAGTATTATTCTGAATGGGGAAAAATTGAAGGCCTTCCCCTTAAGGACAGGAACAAGACAAGGATGTCCACCCTCACCACTTTTAGTCAACATAGTGCTGGAGGTTCTAGCTAGAGCAATCAGGCAAGAGAAAGAAATAAAGGGAATCCAGACTGGAAAAGATGAAGTCAAACTTTCCTATTTGCAGATGACATGATACTATATACAGAAAAACCTGAAGACTCTATCAAAAAACTCCTAGAGCTGGTTAATAACTTCAGTAATGTTGCAGGATACAAAATAAATGCCTCCAAATTAGTAGCACTTATATAGTCAAATAACGAATTAACAGAAAGAGAAATAAAGTAAGCCCATTTACGATTGTCACCAAAAAAATATGATACCTAGGGATCAATTTAACCAAGGAGGTGAAAGACCTCTACAGTGAGAATTACAAACCAATTCTGAAAGAAATTAAAGACACAAAAAGATGGAAAGGTATTCCATGCTCTTGGATTGGAAGAATTAACATTGTGAACATGTCTATACTACCTGAAGCAATCTACAGATTCAATGCAATCCCCATCAAAATACCAATGACATTCTTCACAGAAATGAAAAATACAATCTTACCTTTCATATGAAAAAACAAAAGACCCCAAATAGCCAAAGCAATCCTGAGCAAAAAAAGCAAAGCCGGAGGCATAACTCTGCCTGACTTCAAATTACACTACAAACCTGTTGTAACCAAAACAGCATGGTAGTGGTATAAAAACAGACATTCAGACCAGTGGAGTAGAATTGATAACCCAGAAATCACTCTTCAGGCTTACAGCCATCTGATATTAGGCAAAGGCAAGAAAAATCTACATTGGGGAAAAGACTGCCTCTTCAATAAGTGATGCTGGGAAAACTGGACATCCATATGCAGAAGAATGAAATTAGATATGCATCTCTCACCATACACTAAAATCAACTCAAAACGGATTCAAGACCTAGGTATAAGACCCAAAACTGCAGAATTACTAAG